TGTGAAAAAGAAACCACAAAAGAAACGGAAGTTGGAAGACATATGAAACAAGATTATTTGAAAATTTTTGTTTTAGAATGTTTTTCAATTCAAATATTCTGAGCAAAATATCAATTCTGAAGTTTATTATGTATGTCACTTTGTTAGAAAAAGTGGCAATGGATTTTGATGGAGATGAAATTTCTTTAAAAATGGTTTGTTACATGTATGTTTATGTGACCATGGATATCATACTTCATTGACATTGAATCCACAGTTAGAAGCATTGTTACTTAATAAATCGATCAGGTTTCAGAATCCTCCACTCAGCCTTTCAGCATGAATACAAAGTATCGAACTACCACAACCAGAGACACAATGTCACATTTTTTAACAAAAAAGTGACACTTTTTTGTCACTTTTTGACATGTTAAAAGCTACAAACATGTTATAGTTAGGTAACATATTGCAATTCTTTGGATAACTGATTATGTCATGCCTTGCTAAATCAGATGATATTGTGTACTTTGACCTTAGAGTACTAAGATACGTTCGACCTCGATTATGATTAGTNAACTACCACAACCAGAGACACAATGTCACATTTTTTAACAAAAAAGTGACACTTTTTTGTCACTTTTTGACATGTTAAAAGCTACAAACATGTTATAGTTAGGTAAGATATTGCAATTCTTTGGATAACTGATTATGTCATGCCTTGCTAAATCAGATGATATTGTGTACTTTGACCTTAGAGTACTAAGATACGTTCGACCTCGATTATGATTAGTAATATACAAATGTCTAGTATGTTAAAACAAAAGTGACAATGTTACCTTTTTAATCGTCACTTTTATTAAAAATGTGACATTATGTAATTTTTTGTTCTAAAAGTTGATAGCATGTTAGAAACTACAAACATGTTATAGTTAGATACTGGTACTAATATTGATCAGCTACATCACCAACTTCTCTGATCCATTGATATTGTAATGAAAACATGTCTAAAACTACAAAAATTAATAAGTGAACCATTGTCACTTTTTTGTC